ACTTTATATAGATGTCATTATTGATGTTATGCTCTAACTATTTAGCACGAGCATCTACGATTGCCGTTCGCTACAGTGCAATACGCCGTCAGACTGAAACAAAACCTGGGTGCCGTACTTATTTTCATACTCTTTTATGACATAGGATAGATACCATTAACGATATACTAAGATTATTATATAAATCTGTTTTAGTTACGAACCTAAAGTCTTAGATTATGTAACTCAACAAAACAAACTATTCCCTCATATCGCTGGCGCTTATGCTCTTGCATGCACTGGTCGTTACATGATAGATTTCGGTAAAAGAGCTACTGAACGGATAAAACTGGAAGATCTAAGTGTCCTAGCCGAGGTTAGACAAATTTCTGATTTCATAGGATATATACAAATGTTAAATAATACCTACATGAATGAACAAAAGTAATAACGATTTTGTTTTTATACTAGTTCCATGGAATTAGTTCTGGTTTAAAAGCCTTTTGTACAGAGATGAGTGTATCTGGTATTGAGGTATAGTAAAAGAACAAACGCTATACGTATAACTTCGAGTAGCCCAATTCTAATTTTTTTATTTACGAATCTCGCTATTTCGTACTACTACATTTAGGAGTGTAGACGAGCTTGCGGCGGGCATGGTTATTCATCGGCCTGCGGTATAGGTCATATTTATAATAATTGGTTAGCGTCTTGCACATACGAAGGCGAAAACACTGTTATGTACCTTCAGTCAGCTAGGTAAGTTTGTAAATTAAATAGACTAAGAAAGACATTTATAAAAGTAAGAGAATACATTAAATTAACAATTTTTTAGATATTTACTTCGTTGTGTCAAGAATCCAAAGTCTGCACCTTTAGGTGTATCAGCAGTCTTACATAATCCACCAGGTAAACACTGGGATGTTAAGAATATGCAAGATCTAGAGAAGACGAATACAGTACTAGAAGCTTATAGAGCTAGAGCATATAAGTAAGTAATCGACACAAATACCATAACTAGCTCTATCATATCATTAACTCTGCAATCTTTGATAGAAAAGTAGCTATTGCTGATAAATACCTTCGCGAATTACAATCTGGTGGCGATACTAGTTACGATGCTTGGAATAAATCCGGAATTAAATTAGTGGATTGCGCAAAGGTACTTATAACTGTTTAAAATATTTTAGTTAATCTCGGCTTTGAGTTTTTTCTTCACTATTTTTTAATACTAAGTCTATACTATTTTCTGCTCGTTCTACAGGCATTTACTCACTATTTC